GGGCAAGGGAAAAGAAAGGACATTCAAGTCTATAGCAGAAGAAATGGTAAGAGCAGGAAAGACTGAATGCCACCTGATTTTTGTGACTTAAAAATACAATTGCAATTTAAAAAAGGTATTAATTCTATACTCACGTTTGTTGCTCTTATCTCCAGATAAAACAATTCAGTAAAATTCAATGCATGACTCAAAGCGAGGACTGCAAACTTGTCAGCTACACAGTGAGGCTCGCTCTTCATCAGGGAATGAAATACAACTTCTAATTAATAGCAAGAAAATACAGATTGTTAACCACTCTGGCCATGAGAAAGGCATTAGGATGTCTATTGGAAACATGCAGCCAGAACAGAGATCAGAGCTCTGCTTCGTGTTATTAAGACATTCACACCGCCCTAACCAAATTAAATGGGAAGCTAAGTAACATAAAGCTATCGGGCTCTCTTTCTTCCTTCTGCATGCATGAAATGACATTTTAAAGTCACGTGTGATCTTTCAGAGCCTTTAAAGGGGTCAGGCACTAGACACATCTGGCATGCCGATCTTCTCATTCAGGGACATGAAGTCATCCTCCAATTTGCATTCCTGAGTCAAGAACGTGTAATTTTCCACGTGTCACTTTACTGACTTGCACATTGAACAGAGATTAATATTAATTTCATAGAAGATTGGGCACATTTAAGAAAATTGCAAGCCCTGCTAATTGTGTTTTAATTAAACTAGAAGTGGAATAGTGTTTGATAAAGAGGGCTGATGTTATTTGAATAAACATGTTCCACACAGCCCGCTGCACTACGCCATAAATCAATTTAGTGCCAAATCTCACCCAACGGGGTGAATTAGGTATTATAGGATCTTCAAAGGTGTAAGTTAATTACCACTTCTTAAAATTGCCACTCTGCTTTCCCCCACCGTGCAGAGGTGGCATTGTCATTGCAGTGGCCTGAGAAGCCACCACCATGCAAGCTGGCTTGCCCTGAAGCACAAGTCTCCTTTAGGAGGATCGGGATGTGCCCTGGGGCATGTGATGGTACCGGGTGCCACCCTGGCTGGTGGCAGCACTCCAGTGGGGGGGAGGGACGATGACGGACGGATGATGACAATGGGGGGGTGGACAGACACCACAGGTCTGAAATGAGTCTGATGGTTATCAGCAGTATGCCTTGGGGATTGCATATGATGGAGTACACAACACGATTGCTTTGGCTCTTGCAATCAAAATATTTGCTGTGGCAGGTAGGGAGAAATAGGGCTCCAGTCTGACGAGCAGTGGAAGGCACCCAGCCCTAATCCCTTTGAAATCAAAGGCCTTTCCCCCACCGTGCCCAGGAACAGATCCTAGGAGCCACCTCCAGCCTCCAAAGTGCCTCTCAAAGCTCTCAGTGACCTTATCTTTCACATTTGGAACAAAGACACCAACAGCATTAGCTGTGCAATACCCTAGATTTCAAGTCACAGGCTGGAGCCTATTCCCACTAAATTTCCCTGCGACAAACATTCCATCAACAATAACCTAACCCTCCCTGGGGAGAAGGTGGTCCTGCTCTGGAGGACGCATCTGTGTCCTGCAGACACTGCTGGCACTGAGGGTGCCGGTTTCATTCTGGCTGCGATGGGCAGGTCAGCATTGGAAACAACAACCCCAGTTGCTGTCAACAAGTTTCTGCCTCTCTCTGCACCGGGAAGCGGTCTGTCCTCGGGGGAAAATGGATGAAGGAGTAATTCAGAAATCACAGGATGGGCTTTCTGCAGCTGAAAGTGAAGAGCAACGAGTCTGGGGGAAAAAAAAACAACATATTCCTGGGGGTGAAGGGGCCTTATTTACTACACTGTAATACCTTCTGTTTCTGTAGGAACATCTGAAGATAAACAGAATAGTGCTTCATCGTGCTAGGTAAACAGCTCTCACATACCATGGCTACAGTCTCTAAGGAGTTTCTGTTTATTATGAACTGTCTCTGCCTCAGCTTTAGCTACAAACCCTCACTGTGAATCCAACAGGGAGAGTCTCACAATGAAAGTGAAGAGCTTGTATGAAGTTACCGGAGGGATATTTATTACCTTTGGGATTATAAGCATTTTTTTCCAGAATTTTTGCTTTTTTCCCCTGTTTTTTTCTTATAAGCCCTGGTTCGTTGGATGGAGCATTTGCCTCGCCAGTCCCATTTGGAACAGAGCTTTGGTAGGCAGAACAAAAGTGTTATCAAAGGAAAGATGTTAGTGATGCTACAGAGACTTTAAAAAGTCAACTGTGTTTGAATTATTTATTTCCCAGCTCCTGTGAACTCTCTTTAAGCAGAGAAATGCTTGGAATTACATGAAACTAAAGCGAGAGGCTCCCTAGATGCTCTTGATAAGATTTAAATTTGCAGTAAATATTGGTGTATTGATTATTATCATGACCTGCTGATTTTTAATTTCCCTTTACAGAGAAAACCCAAACTTCCTTGTTCTGAACCAAATTTGGATTGTTAAAAGGACATAAATGTAAATTAACATCCCCAGGGTTATGCTGGTGTAATTGAGATCATCGTTTAGCTCTTTTCTTTGGTTCATTTCCTAAGCTTTTGCATTTCCAAAGGGATGTAAGTGATGCAATGAGACAAGCACAACACGCTTTGCAGAGTAAAAGCTCAGGTAGGCACACAGCCAGGCGTGAAATCCTCATCCTCCCCACTAAGAGGGCGATGCATGCCTGGTTCCTCCTCATGGAAAATGGGTGCTTGCACAATGTAAAAGCCGATGAGGTTTTTTGGGACGAGGTCCTGTAGCTGCGAGGGTTAAGAGGTGCTGGTGGCCCCGTGGCAGCAGGTGAAGCACTGAGGAAGCTGAGTCAAAAGGGGGGTTGGAGGAAGGGTGAGTCTTCTTCCCCTCACCCCAACGGTTGGAGGGGAAGATCTCCAGGGGACTCCTACCTTTGGTTTTCCAGTGGACTTGATAGTATTCTTGTGATTTGGATGGTAATGATTTAGCCATGGGGGTTTATACCCATTTATTCCCACTGCATGGCTGGTAAACCACGCGCCAGTTTGTTCTTTCCTTTTTAATCCAAAAGGAGAGAGAAAATAAAGGGTTTTTTCATGGCACACTCATTTCTGATGTCCTCATACCAAGGATTTGAGTACAGTACTTTATGGCTTTCCTACCCTTCCATCAACCTTGGGATGTTTATTTTTCTTCAAACATAGCTGTTTGCAGCATGCTAACAAGAACTGAAGATCTTTTAACACTGGTATTTGTTTACTGAAGACATCAAAGCCTTTTTTTTTCCTCAAGCCTTCGAGTCGGTATAATCTGCAAACAGCCATGCAAAACCAAGGTGTGCTTTGTGTAGAGCAAAATAAAACCACAGAGCACTGAAGATACAGATATTTTCTTATCTGAGATTCTAAATTTAGCTCTGCTTCATCTCTCATTCCTCAGCTTCTCAAACTATTTGTTCCTAACCGAGAGCCCTGCAGTTTCGGCAGACCTTCCTATCGCCTTCAGTTTCAAGTTGGGTGGAAGAATACGACTGCAAATGTGGACAGTGGCAGTGATAGCAGCTAATCTAAAACAAATATTTTGTAACATCTATGAGCAGATGTATTTCCTCGTTTCACTTTGACGGTCGAGATGCTATACCACGTGAATAAAGAGCAGTGCTCTGAATTTTTTGTATCGGGTCCTGTGAGCTTTCGGTTCAGACCCAGGCTGTGGAGGAAATGACAGATGTTGGCAGCAAATTAAATAACAAGACCTGCTGAAAATAATGTCCTAAGAAATACTGGGGCATTCTTTTTTATGGATTTCCTAGATGTGTTGAGGCTATTTTAAGGCCAATTGAACTCCCACTCCTTACACTGTAAACAAGATTATTCCTTGCATGGAACAAAGGGAGTGTAAATGTCACTGTTTGTGTATCATTGGTATTTCCAGTCATACTTCAAGTATTGTCTCACCCCAAACTTGTATCCCACTGTTCAGAACCTAGTGGCAGGCTTCAGAGAGCATTAAGCATTGGTAGTGCATCACAGGAAGCATCTCCATGGAGAAAACCTAAAGTCTCTCCGTGGAGGAGGACCTCTTAGAATGGTACCAACTGACGAGCTCCCTCAGGAGCTATTCAACTTGTTGGCTGTGGTACGGACAACAGGGAAGACGAGGGCAACAAGGAGGGAGGACAGGACAAGGATTTACCGATAGGGTTTTTATTCTACAAGGAAGCAACTCACCCCAAGCTGAGTTGGCTGAAGGTTACAGAGCAGGCAAGTACCCAAGGCTTTCCGGGAATCGGGAAGCACAACTTGCAAGGTCAGTAATGCAGATCTGCATGGACAAAGTACAGGTAATGAGAAATGCTGACTACCTCTGTTGGGGAGGGATGGTGTGTTACGGGCATTTTCAGCAACATACAACTTTTTAATCACCTGGCTGTGGGTGTAGTTCACCCCGTCACAGCAGGGGAAGACATGCTGCCTGACCTGGTGTTCGTGGCAGCTTTGGAGACTTGGCGCAAGGAAGGGACCCATGCAGGAGGGGTTGGGTGGTGAGAGGATGTGCTGTTCAGCAGCTCTTAACCTCAAAAACACCAAAAGGAGATGCAAGGGGTAACCAATACAAACCTTTTCCCTTTCACTAGCTTTAAACCAGGCAAGTGGTGCCGATACAACAGGGTGCAGCCGAAGAGGCTGCAGGTCTGTGGGGAACAGTGGTTTTGGCCACTTCCCTTGACTTCGGGTGCTGCTGAGCTTAGATATAACCTCTGGCTCAGCAAGACAGGGCTCAGCCTCCCAGGGGTGAGAGAGAAAAGGAGCAACTGTTCCCTGGTCCCAGGGTCCTCACAGGTTGGGAGCAGGGACGTGGCCTGATCAGTGACACAGCCAGGCTGCCCCTCCAGTCCCAGCACTCAGGTGACTCCTGCGGAGCTCTTTCAGAGTCTTGCCTTAAGAAATAAAACAAAATGGCAGAGCCTTAAAAAAAAAGTTTTAAGCACATCCAACTTTGGGATACAGCATAAAATTTCTTGCCAGAGAATTTAAAACAAACTGGAAACTAATCATCTACTCATTTAAATGATGTGCCTGGAGCTAAACCAGCAAGGCTGAATAATCTCTGCACTGCTTTCATCCTTCTTCAATTTTTTCTTTGTTCCATCAACCACATGTGCGTTAAGTGTAAATTGAAGGGCTCTTAGCTGGAAAAGCAGATTGTGAAAAGGGCTTGGCCCTCATCTTATAATTCAGCTTCAGTATTACAATTACTCTTAATAACACTCTTATTTTGTTGTATTATTTATTCTGGCTAGAACCCTCTAGGATCCCTTGAAGACTTTTTTTTCTGGTGGATTTAGCCAACATCCACTCATGAATCCAGATGTTTCTGCTTTTATCCACAGGAATTTTATGGTATGGATATGCCAAGATTATAACTTCAGGCTCAGCCTCCAGACAAGTATTTTTCAAATTCCCTAAATCAAAAATGGAAAGTGCCATGAAAAACCTGGGCCTTACTGCATTTAGCGTGCCAGAATGGAAATCAAACCGCAGGACAATACTGCTCAAGGTTCTGGATCTGTGTTGATACAGTCTCCTACGTCGCACCAGAAATTACAGCCCAGATGGTGCTATTTTCTGTGTCCTCGGACACAGACTCTTGCCTTCAGCACATCTTCAGCTCTTCTTTCCATTCACCAGCCTGAAGTTAGGAGCAAAGATACATGTGGGTCCAAGATGCTTACACTGGAAAAAAGATTACTCACTGCAAGCCAGCGTCACTGCTGGTGTATTTAAATGAATGAAAATGTGCCTGTGTATGTCAGCTCCCCATCACCAACACAGATACTTTCCCAGTCAAAATTGGTTCTGAAATAAGGACAATGATGAAATGTACCCTGCCCTGATGGGGACCTGGTGAATAAAGCAAGTGTCTGCTGTGCCTTTGACAGCACTTTGGAAGAATAACCAAACCCAAACTCATTCTCTGTCCAGAGTGACAAAAGCAGCTTGAAGCAGACACTAAATAACCTTAACCTTCCTTTCTGTGCTGCCTGGGGTTTCCTTCAGGCACTCCCATTGGTAGTGTCCTGGGTTTCTTCCCTGCTCCCCAGTTGTCAGCAGGAGAGGCTGATCAAAGTCACTACGCAGTGGTGGTCAGTACCAGCATGGTGGCTTGGCCGGTATCATACCCCGTTGGGGATGGCTGTGTCCTTCCAAGTGCCCCAAAGTCGCTCAGGAGCACGAGAATAACAAACGCAGGAGATGCACAGAACAGTTTTCGTTGGCCTTTTGGCAACAAACAGCAACCATCATCTGTCTGTGGCCATGCTGTGCACAAAAAGGATGCGGTATTATGCCTGAGTCCACAAAAGGTGAATTTTAACACTTCCTCCAGGACACTCCCAGCTGGCCTTGAATGCACACTGGCAGGGCCCTGCTCCTGCCTCTGCTGTGCATGATCCAACCCCTTTTAAAGCCACTCTCTGTGCACTGGACCAGGGAGAAACACAGAGTAGTTACTCCAGCCTGGTAGTGAAGAGCCTGTTCCCCTCCTGCGCAGCAGCTAGTTATTGCTTGCTAATAGCCTTAGTTCTTTACCTGCAGAGTTCCTGGATCAAAGGAAATGTAAATTATTCCTAAAAGCTTTTCTAAGGCTTCCCCCAGCATGGAGAAGCCTCTCAGCTGGCACAAAGGATGGAGCTGGCTCCACAGCAAACCTCTCCAGGGCAGGTACGCGCCAGGACAAGAAGGAGGCACGAGAGCAGGGGAGCAGAGGGCTGAGCACCTGGCACCCAGCAGTGAGACAGCTCCTGCCAGTTCAAGCAGCAAAGCTTTCCACCCATCTACCCCAGAGCTGAGCTCAGCCACCTCGAAATCCTGCTGCATGGAGCTGCTGAGGGCAGGGGTAGGTGGTAACTCAGTGCAAGGTGCCATCAGTCGGGGTGACAAGTCCAGGAGTCTACATGATGTCACATGTAGGAGGTGGCAAGGGAATGGCAGAGTTAATCTGGACGATGCATTCGAAGAGGAAAGCACTTCTCTTGCTGATATCGTGGATCAAATGTGCTGTGCAGGGCTTAGAGAGGGTGCACATTAAATATCCCACCAGCACGGTAGTTCTGCCAGTTCCTGTCACATTTTCTGTTTTATAATGAGGAACTTTGTTATTATTCAAATATGCAGTTTAAATTTTAAAGGCTACCCACTGTACTTATATGCTATATGACAAGCTACATAAGTATACCTGTTTCAATTTATTCTTCTAGTATTTTCAGTAAAATATGGTTTCAATGACTTTGTCTTCCCTGTAAAAAAAAAATCCACATTTTTCTTTAGTAAGTTCATGACATTCAAGCTACTAATTTTCCTTACCATCACATCTCTTTTTGGACACAGAATAAAGGAGATTGAATATAAAAAACAGTTTTTTTTTTTTCCAAGTTGGAAATGAAGAAATACAAAAATACTGAGCTCTTTAGTTTTTAAAGTTTTTTTAAAAATCGTCTCAGCAGGTCAGACAAGTGATAAAATGCTTTTGTCTCCATTTCAGTGGGTAGCTAGTTTTGCCTTCGGCATACTGAGCATCACGGGCGCCTCAGAGCAATTCGCTGCTGCCACTGCATCTCCTCTCCTTGGCCCATACTGCTGCTGCTCGCTCGCTGGGACCAACTACCTGGGTTACGCAGTCCTGTTCACTTTTCCTTACACTGACTTTCCAAACTGCTGCAAAGACCCTTCGTGTTATGAGTGGTACCACCATCACCCTGCAAATACTAGACCTGTGTCTGAGTTTGGCCATATTCTGTGTATCTTTGGTTTTTGTGACGACTTTTGTGAGATTGCTCTAGTTTGGACATTTAAACATGAGCATCGGTCACAGCGGGGAAGGTGGATTGCTGCCTGTAATGCCATAATGGCAGCCAGGAGGGCTGCACAGCTGTGCAAGGACAGACAAATCCTGAACGCACTCGCACTGCATTTGTGCTTCAGTAGTGCCCCTGAAGCCACATACATAATTCCACGCTTAAATCACTTTACTAAATAGTAATTTGGCCCTTTAGTTGAAATGATACTGGGACGTAAAGGGTACACATCTTTAGCATACTTAGCCTGGGCCTCTGAATTTAAAGGCTGGGCAAAACTTTATGGAAATTATACAATTTGCTTTTGACATTACAGAAAGCAGAACCTGAAGATTTGCCTTTCTGCTTTTCCTTACAACAGTGAAAGCTGCACCACCATTAAAACCTGCACAGACATAGATCTGTTACCTGACCAGCAAAAGAGGTGTCAAAAATAACCACCATCCAGCACGTATCATCTCTGCTTTAGGTAGAGCCTCAGGCAGCAGCACCTTGATGGCATAGGAGGATGAGAGGCGAGGGTAGGAGCAGTACAAGGAGGAGGAACAGGCCTTTGGGTGACCCAGAGCACAGCCAGAGCCCAAGCACACGCTCCCGACTGGCTCCCGCATGAGGCACAGCATCGATTTCCAGCCCCAACGTACCTCCAGCCCACATGCCTTGGAGGACTCACTGCTGGTTCAGACATTTGCAAATTTTGCTGTGCTGAGAAAAATCTTACCTTCCATGCATCCGATCCCTTGGATTTTTTTCTTCCCTTTAACCTTTGTTTGGAGCCAGTCTTGAATCCACAAAAATAATGGTGTTTCCATGACAACAGCCCAGCAGTGGACTCCTCTGGGGCATCTGAGGAATTAAAACATGGCCAGTGCTTCCTCCTGCTCCAGCATCACACCCCATGGTACCACAGCCCCATCCTATTACCTCTCCCTCTTCTCATGCTGAAGTAGACAGCAAACTACTTTGGGCAAACCTCTGTCTGCTTTGGTACTATTGGCGTTTACCGAATGGTAAGTCACACTGCACAAGTGATGTATGAGCAGGTATCAGACCGTGATATCAGCTTATGGGAGGGTAGAAAGACCAAGAGGGTCTGCAGTCTAAAGGACTGGACAGCTGTTGGATTTTGTAATCCCCTAAGATCTATTAATAAGATTCATAATTTTCATGCCCTCCCTGGTATTTTACAGAAGATATGAAATGATCCTTCATTATTCACAGTCACTGCTTTGCTTCCAATACACAGCGTTTCTCCTGCCCTCCTTCAGCAAAGCCCTGCA